ATTATCACCTGTTGTTCGTTTCTTTAGTAAAGCAGCTTCCCCAAAAAATGTACATTTCTCAAATTAGTTTGACAAAATATATTACCTAAAGGGTTTTTAATTGACATTTATAGCAACCTTTTGCATGTAAGAAAGTTATGTAATATTTATTTAGTTGGAAAGCCGACACTCAAACTAATTACGAACACAAATTAGTTTTAGCCCGTTATATATTTAAAGCCTTATAAATAATTTCATTTTTATTGCGCTATATCATCTTATGCAGATAGCTATATTTTCATTTTTTTTAAATCTAGTATACCTGATTCTAATAGGTACGATTTTAAAAAAAATATAATTTCTGAGCCTGTCTCTAGACCATCAACACAGCGCGCAGACAGACTTGTAGACTGCGAGGGTTTGAATGGCGAGCTGTATTGATTATCTGTCTCAGGTTGTACATTGCTGACCAGTGGGAAAAAAAAAACTAGTTTAAGTCTGACTGAAGTGTGGGGTGTGGTGGGAGGTAAGGGTAAACTTGGTTGGGAAGGGGGGGGGGTAATCACATAGATGGATAGTTTGTTGGGACTGTTGAGTTATAACTTCACAATATATAACTAGTTTTCATAGTAATTGATTTGTTATACAGGGTGGCACGTCTACGTTGTGAGGCACGGAAAATAGCTTAAGGAGGCGCAAAAAAATTTGAGTCGTGTACAAAGTACAATATAAAAATCAACACATAGATATATAAGTAAAAATTTAAGCTATGTACGTTATTGAAGTGTTTTGCATCGCATATTTTAAGTTTGGTCAGATTTCACTTTTATGAAATTTAAATAGTCAAGGGACATAACTTGCAGCTTAATTTTTAAAAATATTTTAAAATGCACGCAGAATCAAGTGTTTTTTTTTTTTTAGAAAAAACTGTTAAATATCGTTTCTCATTACAACACAATATGGACTTAGAAAATGCTATTTAGCATGTTATATATTTTGTATTTTTTTTTAAATTGAGTTAAGTTCACACATCAATTGAAACACATAAAAACCATATTTATAATACATAACCGTTTTATTAACATGCCAAACCTCATAATAGTCAGAATTCACTTTTCGTGTTTTTCTGCTTAATTATTTATGTTTTAGAAACTGATTTTTTTTAATACTTTTATTTGCAATTAAAACAAGTACATCAACATCACATTGTTTTACATAGTTACATAGTTTATTAAAAAAAAAAAAAAAAAAAGTTTTAGAAACTGATTAATTAAGAGTGCGTCAGAGGTATTCCATTGCAAACATATTTTTTGGGAAAAAGAAAATTAAAAAAAAAAAATAATTAGAAACTGATTAAAAACTACAAAACGTGTTTTAAATGCTTAAATTAACAAGAGGAAGGTGTTGGCGTGTTCGAATCGGAAAAGCTAGCAACCGAAAAGTCTGGAACTGGGTACAGCCACTCCAATACGAGAGTCAACTCCAAAGTCAAACAACTGCTGCCTTGTAGTTCGTTCTTGGTTGAACAAGGGTTATGGGAGCAAATCCAAAAAGAAAAGGAGTCAATGGCGCATAACCAGTTGACACGAATACTTCATTGTGTTTGAGGCGATCTCTTCCAACACTAAAACTGCAAGCGAAGAAAAAGAAGAACAAGAGTAAAAAATTTTTTTTCGTAATAGAGCTCATATAAAGAGAATTTCACTTGCGGTCACTTTTTAGCCCTCGTCGAGGGCTTTGAGTGAAACCGACAGTTTTCCCTAAAGGTCAAGCCAGTTACCTAAGAGCATGCAAAAAATTAGCCAGATGTAAAGACGGTAAGTGCCCCCAAATCCGTTTTGAAATCACCCTCTGTTTTTCCCATAAAATACAAAGATTATATAGGGAAATACGACTGGTCAGTTTTGACCCATTTAACGAATTTTCCCGGACATGGCGAGTTTTTTGTGACACCCCAAGGCGTTCTCCTACCACCTCACTCAATTTCAAGGGGGGTCGTCGGAGGAAATTTTTTTTCGTAATAAAGCTCATATAAAGAGAATTTCACTTGCGGTCACTTTTTAGCCCTCGTCGAGGGCTTTGAGTGAAACCGACAGTTTTCCCTAAAGGTCAAGCCAGTTACCTAAGAGCATGCAAAAATTTAGCCAGATGTAAAGACGGTAAGTGCCCTCAAATCTGTTTTGAAATCACCCTCTGTTTTTCCCATAAAATACAAAGATTATATAGGGAAATACGACTGGTCAGTTTTGACCCATTTAACAAATTTTCCCGGACATGGCGAGTTTTTTGTGACACCCCAAGGCGTTCTCCTACCACCTCACAAAGTTTCAAGGGGGGTCGTCGGAGGAAATTTTTTTTCATAATAGAGCTCATATAAGGCGCCGGTCAGTCGAGGTCAGTTTTGACCCCCTCTCCGTAGACTTTTCGGCAAACCGTCACCGGCTCTCGTGTTCTATCGCCCCAAGGCACCATCGTGCCAAATTTGACGTGCCTGCGGCGCCGGAAAGTGTCCTATCGGGCACTTGACCACTTTGCTTTATATATATAGATATCGACATTTTGACCTCGAAAATAAAGTACTAATGTCTGATGTCGTTTTTTAAGGGCTGGTATATCCCAACCTGTATTCTTCAACTGGAATATATATGTATATATATATATATATATATATATATATATATATATATATATATATATATATATATATATATATATATATATATATATATATATATATATATATATATATATATATATATATATATATATATATATATATGGAGAGAGAGAGAGAGATTGAGAGAGAGAGAGAGAGAAAATCAATTTTAACGTTACATCAAAATCTTTGATAGTTTGAATACTTCACACTGCCCGTCGTACACTGATGCTTTTCCTTTATAAACTGATATATACACATGATACACTCCTGTTCGGGGGGGGGGGGAGTGGGGTGGAGGGTTCTGCACACGCCCATACAACGGCGGCATGAAACGTCCCACACGATAATTGTGTGTTTAGCACCGACCTCTGGACACTGTCTACGACCTGTGACCCTCCATCCCTCCCCCCTCGTATCCTCCGCCTCCTTCATCTCCCCCCCCCCTCACCGCCCTTACACACACATGTTAAAACATCCAGCGTTTATCGATGTTGACGTGTATTCCAATTGTCACGTGATCCCCGGGAAAGTTATGTGATTATCGTTATAGTCGTTAAACCGTTTCAATTTTCGTTTTATGTTCGTGTTGTTTTGATGATATCCGATATGCAGGGGCGTAGATAGGATTAGTGTTAAAGTCCTTATTCCTTGTGAATTTGTAAATATAAATAGTGGATTAGTCTAATACATATCTGTATTCCACATTTAATTAACAATGTTGGAATAAAGACATATCCAGCCAGCGGCGTAGCCAGGAATTGGTTATGGGAGGGGTTCGAATATTTTCCCATATATATATCTATATATATATATATATATATATATATATATATATATATATATATATATATATATATATATAATAGGGTTGTGAGTCCATGGGAGGGGTTATAGCCCCCCCTAACCTACCCCCCCCCCTCTTGCCTACGCCACTGTATCCAGCGCAATCAATAAATAAATAGGAATAGAATATTCGTGTAAAAAGATAGCATACTATACAAAAAAATAATATTTTATGTCCAATTTTTCGAGAAAATTTATATCATGTGTTCAATCATTTAATTGTAGCTTTGATGAAGAACATTGTTAATAACGATAACTTTGATACAACGTTTTATATTAGAGGTTATGGTTTTCAGTGGTATTCGTGATTGAAAATATTATGTGTTGCGGCTGTTTTGCTTTTTGACAAGATTTTTCCTAGGTTAAAAGTTTTCGGGTTTTTTTTTTTTTTGTAAAATTTTGCAACATATATGGGTCCTATTTTTATAGAGCAATTTCTTTCAAGCTTTCCGTATCAGTACACATGTTCTGACAGCAAAATACATATTTCAAAAATATAATTTAAAGATTGCTATCGTCTGTTACCGAAGGGGAGGGAACTGAGTAACTCTATTGGTCAGGTGAGCTGGTGTTCACATTGATTGTTGATTACACGTCTAGGAGCTGAGATGGGTTGGTAGGGGCAGATAGAGTCAGAACTACTGATTCGATTTAAAGCTAATATTATTTGTGTAATTGTCGACTTTTAAAATAATCGAACTGAATCAAGAGAATGATTAGGATATCAATTATTTTATAGCTGGAATTTCTTACTATTATACTATTTTATTTACATTTTCTAGTTATTAAAATTTAGAAAATTAAAATATGTATTTAAAACCATGTATACTAACGTGTTTTAAGATGCATAAAAATGAAAAGTAGTAAAAGCGTTACACGGTCAAGATTCTTTTTTACACATTTTAGCTACAAATTCTTTTTTTTATTGTAGACATAAAAAAAACCTTTGTTTCCAAATTTGTTTTATGCTTTTAAAAGCTTATAAATATTTATATTTAAACACGTGCTTTATTTACATTTGTTATGTGATGATTTCTGGGATACTGTGTAAAAAATATATTTGAAAACGTTTTGAAATGTATAGCACTGTTGTATGATGCACTTAACTGTTCGTAGTTTTTTGGTTTACTGCCTTTGGTATCGAAACGATTATATAATCGCTGCCAGTCGACTGCGTACTCGACTACGACTTACTTCCTGTTTGAGCCGCCATGTTTTCCCCATCCCAGAACGCCGTGACCCGTGTTGACATCACGTGACAGATTACTGCCTCGTTATGGAACCAGCGTGTGTCCAATTTTTTGACAGCTTTACGGTGATTCCAGGCTTTTCATCCCCTGCCCGTTAATCCCAGATCACATGTTTGTTAAGATGGTTTCCATGTCTTGAATAGAATATAGAATCACATCAAATAATTAACACTATTTTTTTTTTACAACACTGTTTTAATATTTGGTTATATGTATTGTTTTTTCTTCTGCTTCAGTGAAATATATTTTATTTCAGATAAATAAAAAGATTAACTTTTGTACTGGGACATATGAGGTGAAAAAATAATTGTGTTATTTCTTTCACGAAAAAAAAGGATACTTTTTTATATTTCTTCCGGGAATAGATGTGAGGGAGTTTGATGAAAATGGCAACGATATTTCGTACTGTCTATGACGGACAGCCTCGTGTTTTTGAGAAGTGGCCAGACTACGGAACGGACGGCTCGACCCGTACCAGAACGGAATAGATCTTGACAATACATCGATTTGAAAAAATGCGACGGTGTGGCGTGAAGGGACGGATTTTTTGAGGAAACGGGGGGACAACCCTCGCTGATGGAGAAACCCCACGAAACGAAACAAGATGGTTCCTGCGTCGATCCCCTGTGGGACCCTTTCTCCACTGACCATGTGAAAGCGAAACTAAAAAGAGATTCGCCCAGCGCGGAGGAGGCGGTGGGGAGAAAGAGTACACCTCTCACTCCGCAAGAGTTCGAGTTGTTATCGGATTCGAATCCTTTCAAACAGGACATCGCGGAGAAGTACGGTTTGGCGTACCCGGGGATAACAACGAAATCACAGAGTCATGATTTCTTGAATAAATCGAAAGGATTGCTTGATTCGGAGGATTTATACACGGAAACACGGCGAAGAAAAAGTACCAACGACGCGGATGGGTACAACGAAACTTCGCTGAAAGGGATTCGTGGAAGAAGATGTTTCAAAAATAGTTCGACGCGAGGTCTTAACGAGTTTTTGTTCCGAAACCAACAGTCTATAGAGGAAAGTATACAAAAGTTAACGGAGTCCGAATCCGATTTGACGCGCGCCAAACGGGACGAGTTTTTGAGACGGAACCAAAAATCGATCGAGGAGAGTATTCAGAGATTGGAACACTTTGAGATTAGTTGCAGTAAACACGTCTCGTCCAAGGCGGATAAGTTCGGCGTCGTTTACGTCACCGGGTCTTTTGGTAACGGTGACGAGTGGTCGGGTGCTTCTTCTTCGTTGAACGCACGCGCGGCTAATCTGATCCAGTCCCAGTTGTCGGAGGGGTCAACGGAAACTGAGGACAGTGTGAGCAAGAGTAATGCGGCGTCTGAGAAACGTAGGGATAAAACAGATGATGAGATTTTAAAGAAAGAGGAGGTTGATTTAGATAAAAATCTGATAAATAAACTTGATAATGTGTCAGTTTCAGAAAATAAAGATGGAATAACTCTAAAGTCTGGTGGATCGCCAGAGAGAGAAAGCACAGAAGTAAAACTAAATACATCAATCGGACCTGTAGCAGTTAATAAGGACACAGTAGGGGCATGTATCGAGGATACAACTAGTCAGAATACAGAAGCATCAAGATCGGATCCTTACGCTGCTATAAGATTAGAAGATCATACCAGAAAACGAGGTTTCAAAGCATTTTCGGAAGGTCAGTCGTACGGGTCAAAAGACGGGTCACTTGAGTTCAACGAGTTGTCGACAAGAAGCATTGATATTGCTGAGTTAGCCCGGAAAGGTGCGAAGTTGACCACACAGGTGAAGACAAGTTCAGTCCAGGTGGATGACAGGAACCAGCTCTCTCAGTCCGGGGATAGCCTCGTGTCCGGCGCTCTCAGACTTTCGGCTGACTCGCGCACGTCCGGCTCGTCCGACGAATCCAGCAGCAGCGTCACGCCTGACCACACGTCGTCGGTTGTGTCCGTGTACGAGCAGACGTCCAGCGCACCGGACAACACCAAGACGGACACTGACCAACACGCGCTTGACCCTGACACGAAGACGTCCAACAACGACGAGGACGATGAGCTCCTGTTTGATATTGGTCACGGGTTCAAACCCAGCTTGAGCAAATCCAGCAGCCAGGAGAGTTCGAGCTCGGCGAGGAAATGCATCAGCCCGTTTTCAGATCCTGAAGAATCAGCGCCTCCTACTAACGACGATAAATTCAGTTCTTCGTTCTACGCCGCGTTCAGCGCTACGGTTTCCTCTCTTGAAGACATAGCCGAGCCAGGTCTGGTGGAGAAAGATCTACTCTCTGACGCTGGAACCAGTGGTACCCCCGACACGAGAACAACACCGGAGATTGAAACGAGTGAGAGAATCAACGAGAAGATCGTATGGAACGACGACGATGATTTGAGTGGGTTCGGTACTGAAGATACGTCCATGGCGCACTTTGAAGAAACCTCAGGGGACGATTCAGTTTTTGGGGAAAGTGCCACGCAAAGTTGTCATGAAGAGCTCCTGTCTTTTGCTGAGAGCATTCAGTACGGTGAACGTGGTGATCACTCCCCCTGCACGTCTAAGGAAATTCTACTCCAAAGTAAACTTTCAAACGGCAGTGGAGACTCCTCAAGAGGTAGCATCTCTAGGGAATCCATGCGGGTGAATTTATCCCAGGATAGTTCGACGATTGATCAGCCGGAAGATTTATCCCTGCCGTCGTCTAGACCAGAGTCAACATGCCGTCGGCAATTTGACGTCACGGCTGCTCTTGTTCCGCTTGCCGAGTGTACGTCGACCGATTCGATGCTTGTGAACATGTCTAGTGATAGCCTAGCCACGGCAGGAAAAGCTGGGGGGTTCCCCAAGCCGATTGAAAGGGCGAACCGGAAAGCTCTTTCGATAGATTTGAGGCGACGCAATATGCTGGAACAAACTCGTAGACGGTCTCTTCCTATGGTGATGCTTAAAAATCTCGGCAAAGAACAGCCGCTGCTTTGGTCGTCACAGTCAGTAGATGCTACTATAGAACCATCACAAAGACGCCCGTCTCTACCATTCGATGCACCTAAACTTGAAAAAATCAAAACGTTTAAAACCTCGCAAACAAAATTAGAATACGAAGAAGCGCCATCAAACTCTGTATCTTCGTTCAAATCATTTGGGAAATCACCGTCAATCACTGAAAAGGAAAAAGAAGACGAAGCACAAAAACCAAGTGGCCATGATAATACAAGGGATTTATTAGGCGGCGATGTATCTGATTCAGCCGTGGCGTCTCTTGCTTTTGATCCGTGGGCTCCGTTTGTAAACGCTGCTGAACAAAGCGAGCTGTCGTTTAACGATTTCTCTTGGCCCAACGACGATTGGGGTTCTACTGCTATCGTCTCTGGTGAAATCAAAAGCGCACCAGCCTCTTCTTCAAGTTTTAACACATTTGACGACACATTTTCTAATGCTTTAGTTGACACATCAGCTCGTGTTCTAAATGATCCATTTGCTGTTGTAGAAACTGAAAAAGAGGCCAAAACATTGGATTTAGATTCTGAGAAGGAAGGGACACAACCTCGATTAGTTGAGCCGATAACTCCGGGCACACAACAACGCTCTCCGTCACCAAGGATGGGATTTTCGTCTTTTGTCAAAACAAAAATGCAACAACCTATGCAGGTAGTCTCCCTGTTTTCTAGCAAACACGCACAAGAAAAACACGAAGAACAAGTTCTGGATACGGTAGCTTCACCACCGTTGAACGAATCATTACCTGAAGCTGAGTCAAACAAAGAAGTTATATCTACAGACATAGATCATGAAACTAAGGTAAAAGTCACAACCGGGGCACCACCTGATCTTGTGCCTAATGTCGTCACACTTACTTCACCTGTGGAAAATGTTTATACTGAATGTATATCACAATCTAAACCTTCAATCACAGAATTGGAAACTGAACCTAAGGTTACAAGTATTGACGACATTTCTAAACTACAAGCTACCGCTCCTGAAAATGAAAAGAACGGTACTAAAAGTGCGACATTAATTGAGACTGAAGATTTTGAAGTCCACCAAGCAGAGTTAAACGAAAAAGAAACAAATGAAACTCTACCACAATCCGAGCCTGATCAAGGTCCTAAACCTCAGATTTCTAAGAGTGACAGTAGCAGTGACAGCGATGGGGGTGACATAGACGCTCTGGTACAGGAGTATAAACAAGACGCCAGTGAAAGCGACGATGCTGACATCGACGACATCGTCAAGGAGTTCAAAACAGACACCGTCGACGTTCCTACTCAGAAGGAAATGGATGCTGAAAAACTACGAAAATCCGCTTTCAACAAATTTGGGAAAGTTCTAAATAAAATGCAGTCCGTGACGAAATACATGGTGAAAAAGAAAGACAAAGACGATGAAGACAAATCTAAATCTCCTCCATCAGGGAGAGGGAGGTTAAGGAGTCAGTCTCACGATGACGAGTCAGAGGCCGTGGCGTCACAGAGAAATGCAGAACAAGATGACGCCTTTGAGTTGCTCAACAAGGCGGCGGAGGTGTTCAAGGAACAAACTGTGAGAAAGAGAAGGCCGACCCCTGCGGGCATGTGGCGGTCCAAGACAATTCAATCCGAAGCGATCGAAGCTGATAGTGATGTTGACCTGGTCACCAGGGCCGCTATTCTGTTCAAGGGCTTCAAGAGCAAAAAAGTGAAAGATATTGATTCGGCCGAGTTGAAACCACAGCCTGAAGAAGTCCTTGAGCCGATTTCTGAAGTGAAAATCAATGCCATCGACAAAGTTGAAGCGGTTACTAGTGAAGAAGATAAACCTAAAACTGTCGACCAATTACCAATCACTAGGGAACTAAATTTTGATAATGAAATATTATCACAAAATGTTACTGACACTTTGGTAAAAGATGAAACAGAAAAACAGGAATCAGGGTCCAAAATGGCTAGTCTTCTTGATGATACAGTCGTGGATTCGTCTGATGTTGTTGATAAAGACAGCACCATTGTGGAAAGAGAAAGTTGTGGCATGGGCGATTCAGGGTTCGAGTCTGTGATTAAATACGCATCTGAACAGCAGGAAAAAACAGAAGAAGTAGATCTGCTGAATATTAGTTTTGGAGAAACTGCAATAGAAACATCGGTCGCCGCGAATGATGTTCAAAGATATTCAGTAAATGATTTTATCGATGTTGATATGATAATGGGTGCAAAGCTTAAAGAAAGTTCTGATGAAAACGGTATCGGGAGCGGAATTGTAGAAACGAGCAGTGTTGGACAGTTGAACGAGGAGTGTGTGGAGAAGGTTAAAGTTGAAGACGTTCCAACTAAACCGGAAGTCGTGGAGCCGTTGGCCATCACCACGCCCATCTCCGTGGACATATCATCACCATCAACCCAGGACAGGTCGGAGTTGTCTGAAAGAAGCATCACGGTCGATTCAGAACTGGAACCGGAATCTCCCAAAGTCTTAGGGGTGTTGAAAGAACAAACCTGCGACTTAATTCTCAGCACTGGCTATGAAGAGGTCAAGGCTTCGAAGAAAGTGGAATCGTCTGTCAAGGTCAGGCGAGAGAAGTCCGTGAAGAAAGGATCGAGAGACGATACAAATGGGAAACTGGAGGAGCTGGCTAAAGAGATTTCCCTGGTGGATGCGGCTGGGTTTAAGGAAACCAACGCCAAGTCAACGTCTGGGACTTTAGACCTGAGACCTCCGGAATTTAAGAGGCTGTCGTCTGCTGAGTCAACAGAGAACCAGGACACCGCGAGTCTAACGGTCAACTGCCCGGATTCTCCGGAAAACGCGATGAGTCTTAACGGCGACGGTTTCTCTTTGTGTTGCGGCGGGAATTTTAAAATTCATCTGAACTGCACGGCCATGATGAAAAAACCGGAGCGGCGTCCGTCCGCCGTGGTCATACAAAACAAAAGATGCGCCATGACGGAGGAGGAAAATATGTTTCCTATGAAAATTAGTGAGAGCTACAGGCAAGGGCTGGACTCTGGAACCGATAAATTGTCTGGAAGTAAAGTAGCCCCTGCGGTTAAAACTGTCCAGGATCTTAAGGTCAACGAACATGAATTAAACCGAAACTTCGCCGGAAGTCGCGAGGAGCTGTTAGCCGAAACGGAAACGAAACCTATATCTGGAAACGAACCAGCGTCTCAGCAGAACCCGGAAAAAGATAACGCGACCGACGACAGCGGAAATAAAGAAAAGATCGTATCTAAGAACGCTGAGGGTGAAATATCTACAAAACAACAGACGGGCACCAATGGGGACGAAGCGACGCGCAATGAAAGACTTGAAAAAAGGAAGTCGATAATTGAGGAGCTAGACGCGGATAAGGAAACCATTAATATGTATGACTCTGTTCTGGACGAACTGATCAAAAGACAGCATGGATCTGTTGAAGAGAGACAGGAAGTAAAAGAAAAAACCGACAAGGAGAGTAATGGTAAGTCTAAAAGATACGGGAGGGTCATGAGTGAGTCTGATTTTGACGCCAATTTTGAAGAGGCGATAGAAAAGTGCGAGCAGAAATTAAAACAGGTAACACTACAAGAGGCTGTGAACAACGATTTAAACGAGGCGCTGGTGTGCGACCCGGTGGGGTATGTTAACGAGCATTTGGTCACGGTCAAAGGTCACGACCCCACCCCCGGGTTCATCATGCAGCAGAGCATCGACGTCTACGACAACGTGAATTTCCCAGAAACGGCACCGCCGTTACCTGAGAGAGTCCCTCGTCACGCTCACAGGCAAACGCACGACCGGAGGCCGTATCGTGACCCGAGGTCACGCAACGACGGCTGTCCGAGTTTTTCAAGCATCGTGTCTGAGAGCGCCACGGATGAGTACATGCAGGGCAGGAGAGCTCAGAATAGAACAAAGTGGGTCAGCTCCACCCCTCACCTGTCCACCCTCGACAACCGAAACGACGCCGTTGCCGTCAGAACGAGTTCTTTCCCTTACCTTGACCGACAGGAAGTCGACGCCTCCACACAGTACATGACAGGGTCGGGGATGAGTTTACATTCAGATTCCGTATGTTGGGGTAACTATGCACGAATCGATGACGTCACCGACAGAAGATCCTACGACTCTGAAAGTTCCACTTCCGGTTTAGTCATACCCGGGACTGGTCGAGAATCAACTCTGAGTGACGTGTCCGATGGGTATATATTCGGTGAGTACTCGACGGTCAAGGACGAGATTCCCTTTGACAAGGTCATCCGTCCTTTGGATAGGCGTACGGTCGTTGACAACACATTCCGGTTCAGGCATTTTACGACCGCCGAGGACTCGCCGTACGAGAACATCAAAGTGATCACATCCCAGCCGGTCAGTGCGCACCCAAGGTACGTCCGATCCAACATGGACGTTCACGGTGACGTCACTTCCGGTTATGAACACTACGCGATCATCGGTCAACCCATGCACTCGAAATCCGTGCAGTACTCCGTACCCTCGTCGCCTGTCGGGGTTTTAAAGATCAGCTGCGCGTCACAGACCAGCACGGAGTCTCTCGCCGGCTACGTCAGAGATGACGCTTCCGATATCCTAGAAGGTCTGCCCGTGTTTGAGTACACCCTGGGCGCGACGTTGAGTACTCACAGCCATCTCGCAGACGTCGCAGACGACCAGTACACCCAGCGGTACGCCGACGACAAACCGGATTTGACCAAACAGACGCAGTCTCTGGACCGACGCAAGACCAAACCACCGGCACGACGACCAAGCCGACGGGAACAGGAAGTGGTTAAAAAATCGACCAAGGTCACCTTCTCGCGTGACGCGGTTCTGACCGACGTCATCGACGGCATCAAGAAAAGCGAACTCAGCCTCGACCAAGGCGGTAGAGGATTTAAGGATATTGCAACGTCCACGTTTTCTTCCATCGGCGGCGGGGTCCGGGAGATTGCGAGAATTTTCCACGTCCCCTTCCAATGCTGCCGTAGCAGCCGCAAGGAAAAGCCGCGCACAAAGGTAGGACGGTCGTTGTCAATGAGGATTTGTTTATGTGGCTCATGGGCGCCCTCATGATAAATGTTTAATACAAACTTTTTTTTTCGCTTAAAGCTGGGCTTGGATACCTTTTACATAATAATATAGTGCTATTTAAATAGTAATATTTTAAAACGTTTCTGTCCAAATACTTCAAGTCAAAATCAGGTATAAAATAACTAAATGATGTTAATTTAATATTTTAGAATTCAAAACAATTCAGTAATTAACATCCGGGTGTATTATGCATACCATTGTCCGATATACACATAATAGTGGCATCTTCTTTAAAGAGGGGTGTTAGGTTACTGATAGTAAACTATAAACTAATTTAATTTGCTAGTGCTAACACTATCATGATCCCTAATCCAAACCATAGCCCTAGCTCTAATTTCAGGCCCTATTCTAAACCCTATTATAAGTCCTACTATAGCCCTAAAACTAATTTCAGGCCCTAACCTAAAACCCTATTATAAGTCCTACCATAGCCCAAGCTTTAATTTCAGGCCCTAACCTAAACCCTATAATAAGTCCTACCATAGCTCTAACTGTAATTTAACACAAACTTGATAGTACAATAGTACTGAAACTCTAACTCATCTAAATTTGGAAGAGTCCACTGTCGTACAATTGTACATGTAATACTGCATGGAGAATCTTTTCAAGCCACCCCTCTAGACCAACAATGTGGGCGCCCATGACGTCAGTAGTAAAGTATTGTATAGTTTAGCTACAAATATTGTGTTTACATTTTGGAAACTAGATCATTGTTTTATATTGTAGATGTAGAATGTGTGTATTCTTCTTTTTGATAGTTTCTAAATTTTGATGTAGAATAATATTGTAGATTTCTATTGGCTATTTCTGTTGATTTTTTTTTCCCAACAGCAATCCTTTTTTTTCCAAGCCGCAACTATTTGTTAAAGCGTCGTGTTGTAACTGGGCCTTGACCTAGATAAATACTAATGTATGTGCTCACCAGGGCAGAATCAATAACACAAGGTCACATGGGTCTATTTTTAGCTTTTAGTTGTGGGGGATTAAAGCGCTTAATGGCGGCAATTACTTGCACAAACATGTCAGGGAGATTTATGTTTGTTTTCCTGGTTAGGGGAAAATGTGGACGTTTAGTTGGTGCTGGAATACTTTATGTTGAAAACAGCGAGAAACATAATTCGATTTGTGGCAATAGAACACTTTCTTAAAATAACAAGCAATACTATATCGTCTCTAAAGTAATAGTAGTTGTAGAGTATATAAAATATTTTTTAGGCAGATTTATTAGAAAGTGACTTGAATATATTTTTATATTGAGATAAAACACTACCAGACCTACTATAAGTTGATATTTTTGATACTTGAATTTTAAACAATTATTTGTAAATATCACCGTCTGTATTTGAATGGTAATATAGGCTATAAAAACTATAGGCAACCGTTACGCAAAAGAGAACAGATGGATAAATAATTTTTAAACTAAAAATGTAACATTTAATTTAGAGGCAACCTTAGGTAAACATTAGAACAATGCAATAACATATACGTTAACTGGCCGTTGTATTCTTTAGTAAAGCATACTACCTTACTAGACTATTACTTACTCGTACACGTCTTTTTGATACTTCTAATTTCATGATTTCAAAACTACACAAATTCAATTCTTGAAATACATCTCGGAAAATCGTGTTGAATGTATATTTCCTGTAGGTTTTATTTGTTGTTTTTTTTTTAATAAAAAGCATTTTCTTATAACTGCTGTTTTAGTTAAGCATTACAAATATAGCAATTATTTTGTACATTTTGGAAATTTAAAAAAAAACATTTATTAGAACTGTTAGAAAAAAACATGTTTTTTTTAATTTAAAATTTTGAAATAATTTCAAAGAATTAAACAAGTAAAATAAAAAATAAAAATGATTACTTGAATAAATGATTAATTAAAACGGCAGCACCTGGTTTTCGATTTTAAAAATACGATTAGCTAATAACTGCGTAGGTGCGGCTCTAGATATAAAATCAATTAAAAGCCTGTTATGATTGGCCAGAACTTGATTGAAAAAAGTTCGAGCGTGGGCAGTGATGGCTGGAGAGACACACAGGAAATGAATTTTAGTCCAACATTGATTGAGTTTCAATCATTCCACATCTTGTTGTTGTGGAGTTGTTTACCTTTAGCATTATTTCCCTTTTTGTTGCGTTGCAATGTTGTAGTTTAGATTTAAGAATTATGAATAAAATTTATTTTTGAACAATTTTTCATTTATCTTTTATTTTTCGTTACTTAAGCATCTAATTTTGTTGAGTTCCCTGAAGCCTCCCCCCTTATATATATATATATATATATATATATATATATATATATATATATATATATATATATATATACTAGCTGCATCCCGTGCTCCGCCACGGTAAATCTTTTTTAAATGTGAACAGAAATAGGAACAGAACAAAACTAAACACAACACAAACGAACGCAAAAAAAAAAAAAAAAAAAAAAAAAAAACGAACAAACAAACACAACACTCATAACATAAACACAATTTAAATGCAATCATAAAGGCATATTGCTCACAGTCTAGCCCGTAGCGCCAAATCGCGCCCTTTCCGGTGATTTGCACCCCCCTCAAACTTTCGATTTGCACCCCTTCCCCCCCCCCCCGCCGTAAAACTTTCGATTTCCACCACCACCACCCTCGCAAATTTTTTCCAACCCACTTTGGCGCCCCCTAAGGTCGGCACCCGGGGACATATGCCCCCCCCCCCCCCCTTCGCTACGCCTCTCCTATAAAACCCGAAAGATAGAATAATAATTAGAAAACAGTATAAATAATAGTCAGTATCTATAATATATACAATATTTCACTTTATCCATTCACGCAATTTATTTCCAGCACTTTAAATTTTAAAAATTTACAATAGAGTTTCATAACTAAAACCATTGCGCACCTAATGAACGTGATGACGCGTCTATAATAGTGCTGAATAGTTGATTAAAAATTATAAGCAATAAAAAGTAGGGCCTACATTCAGTGAATAAAATAAATAAAAGATTGCCTTTTATCAATCCATGCTATTTATAATTTTCTAACAATAATTTCCTCTTACACATCCGAATAATTTGCATTCACATTTTGCTAATTATATTATTGCAACACTAATTCCTTCTATGACGAACGTATATTTGCATTTACATTTTTTATTAGCGTGAGTTTAATGTATTTTTAAATTACCTCCTTTGTCAAAATTAGAAAAGAGTTAAATTAATTTGATTTTTCTACCGTACTGTTATTATCTTATTAAAATGTATCCACTTTTTCTGGGAACCTAAACGAAAATGATATTTGACATTAATCTTTTTAATACGTTTTAGCAGTTTGCGTGTATTTAATATTTTCTTGACGTTATGCGAAAGAGTAAACACCGTGGCAATTATAAAATAGCTCTATGCCGCTATATAAACAAACCCTACTCTAATACTTATAATAAGACACTGCGGTGCACTGAAAAGCACAGCATGGTGCGAATGTTTACTTTTATGGTTCCAAAATCTATAGCGATGACGGAAGGAAGGAAGGAAGGAAGGAAGGAAGGAAGGAAGGAAGGACTGACACACTACCAGCAGCGTTATATTATAGATATATATATATATTGTATGGATATATTGTATAAGCACTATTGTTTACAATCCACAGGTGATTAAGAATCATTGTCTAAACATTAGCAAATAAATATTACGGGCGATGGCAAAAATAGCACGCAAGTTATTTTTTTGTAATTACATTTTATAATGATTTGAGATCATGATGAACACAATGTTTGAAAACTTTAAAATTAAAATTTAGAGGCTGTTTTAGATGGTTTATGCAACTAATGAGAGCGGAGAAAATAAAATTAAAATTATGTAATTAAAATTAAAATACGACGTTTGAGAAAAATAACTGTTAGCTAAATTATTTATTAAGATGTATTTCTAATTTAAACTCTTTTTTTTTAAATTTATTTGGTGAGTGAGCTGCTGTTTATTTTACAATAGCAAAGAAAATGTATTTGGTTTCTTTAAGCAAAGCTAGTCGGATCTACACTTTTTACATCCTAAAATAAAATACTTTCTACTCCACATGAATTACAATGTCACATCTGCGTGCATCATTAGTGATTTTTTAAACACAACCTATGTTTATAAACTCCCGCTTTTCATTCATAATAAACTAATGAGAAGTGGGGATCCCCGGTATTCGAATCTCCAAAGTGCTGGGGTATTTGTTTTGCTTCTATAGTCTGCGATTCTAGGAATTTAAAAAATAGTAATTGGTTAAATGGTGAATTCGAGTATGTTTGATTCCTCAATAGCTAGACTTGAGGTTGTCAGCTTGTAATCTAGATACGAGGTTGTCCCTTTATAAGCTAGTTAGAGGGTTGTCAACTTAAGAGCTTTACATTGGGTTGTCCACATATAAATTAGAAATAAGGTTGTCATCATGTAAGCTATACATCGAGTAGTCCACTTGTAAATTAAACATCGGCTTGTACACTTGTAAAGTAGGAATTGGGTTGTCCGCTTGTAAGCTAGAAATCGGACTGACCACAATCATTAGACTATAAAATCACGTTTTCTGAACTTTTGAGCAAAAAAAATCGCGTTGACAACTTTAAAGCTAGAAATCAGGCTGCTTACTTGTCAGCTAGACATAGGTTTGTCAACTTCAATCAAAAATACACCGTGATTTCGTGAGTGTTCGCGGATATTTAAGGCATTTTATGGACAAGATGACAAAGCCAGACACGCACATCAAAGTGATCAAATAGTTTAATCGGTGAAGGTTCTTTATTCGGTCTCGTAAAGCTGATATAGTATGATTTTTGACACTAAAATATCATCAATAGGTAGTGGATGTAAGTTATTTTTAGATAAGTGGTGCATACGTTGAGGTGGGAGGGAGTCATGGCGTACTTTTAGTTTTAGTCAACGGTACCATTTC